CTACATCCAGCAGCAAGGCCAATGATCAGGAAGTTTTGGGGAGCGTGAAACCACTTATTAAATGCTGATGTTCCTAGATCCACCTTGACCCAGAGTGGTAACACCTGTTAGGGTCCAAGCTATGGCAAATAGCTAACACCTAAACTGAGGTCAAAGCACCAAAAAGTGTAAAAATGGGTTTTTATACCAGCAATATATTTTTTAAGGGAAAAATATTACCAACAATACATTTTTTAAAAAGAAAAATGTTACCAGCAATACATTTTTGAAAACAAATTGCCACCAATAAAAATTTTGTCGGCATTAAATATTCCATTGAGGTTGATATGCCTTAAAACAAAACAAACAATCCTGATCGCCAGTTACACTTCATCGTAAGCCTAACCTTTTCTGACCAGATTACTGATCGGTTGTCTGTTATTCATTGCTGTAAACTTGCCACATATATTAACAGAAAAAAATAGAGATTGTTTTTGCATCCCTTGCTTGAAGTCATTGCTTTGATATTAAGTTCTAGAAATAAAACTGATAACACTGTATTCAGATACGACGTAAAAGACTTTACTTTGTCCTCAATTCATACATAACATTGCGCATTGAATATCAAGTAAATTCAATAAGCTCATATAAGCCACCAAACCTATCTTTATATAAATCATGTTTATAATTATGCAGTATGTGCAAAAAATACACCCATAGATTTACAACTGATACGCGTGAATAGTTTGATTATGAATAGTATTTGGTAACTTGAATAGCGATGTGCACAGAGATATCTATTCACATAATTAGTTGCTTATAAAAATGGCCTTATGGTAAAACCCAATGTATGTGTTCCATTTTTATAGATGGATCATTGTGATCATATTACAATTCATTGATAAAGATTGATTTGAGTTGGTTATGGTTTTAGATTTTAATTATTTTTAAACTGAAAGCCGAGACATCACTCGTAAAAAAGGACGAAGAAATTTTAGCAAAATGAGATTTCGATACAGAAAAAAACGTTAACGAATATGAAAAAAATGGACGCCATTTTTGAATTCGGCGCCTTCAAATTAGCAAAAAAAAAAAAAAACAATGTTTCCATTCTGACATCAAAATGTGTTGACTAATGTTATTTTCTTAGCTAAGTAGATTATTTTCTTTGTTACTTTTTTTATTTTATTACATTAATCTATTCGGTGTTCTTTATTTTATAAATTTATTTGGAGTCAATAATTATTATTTTTAATGTACTGTATTTAAAATATGAAATATCTGTTAATGTACTCAACAGATTTTCCTTATCATGACAAATGGAACATTGTGTCTGTATAACTTGAGTCGAAAGATATGTCCTTTGAAATTCTATTTCTCTTTTTAATTTTTGCTACTATACTTTATAAAAGGTGAGCACATTATTTACAAACATGTACACGCATTTAATCGCGTTAAACTATTCACTAGCCGATGTATTTTGTTAGACGTTAGTACTTTGTCTTTATATATATATATATATATATATATATATATATATATATATATATAAAGGTAATAGCCGATATATATATATATATATATATATATATATATATATATATATATAAAGGTAATAGCCGATAAATAATTAAATGCGAATCGAAATATGTTTTTTAGAAATGTGATATTGTTAACGGATAAGAACATATGAAGCGTGTAGTTGCAACACTAACGTTGAATTTTTTTTTTGAAAATTTAAGACTGCAATCTCCATAAGTTCTTATCTGTTAACAATAACACATTTCTAAAAAAAACATATTTCGATTCGCATTTAATTTTTCGTGTCCGCTATTACCTGGATCTACTAAAAAATAAAAAAAAATAAAAATTTCCATGCCTGAGGATGGTTGATTGTACAGCCGAAAGTACTAGCAGATGAAAAAAAGACCTTATACAACTTGAACTTATTAAAAACAAGGATCATAACATTCATCGAGTGATTTGTAGGTTAATGTAACTTTAATAAATTTGTTTGCGAAAATTTTTTTTCGCCATTTATATCATTAACTTTACTAATCTACTTTTTGTATGAATGTTTCATGTAATATAAATATATATATATATATATATATATATATATATATATATATGAGAAAGAGAGAGAGAGAAAGACGTGAAGACACGAAAATATTTTTCATATTTGACAACTTTGTGTTATATATTTTAGAAGTTTGTCCTGTTTAAAGAATCACATTTGTTCAAAGTACAACTGTCATATTGTGATAGTCTATAATATACTAAACTTAATACAACCAATCTAGTCACCCATAACAATTCTTCTACGCCAACTTGTGTCTTACAAAGAACCAAAATATTATATCAAATTAAATGTCCTTTGGGAGATTGCATCTCTGATAAAAATGTTAATACGTATGTTGGTTTTACAACGACGATGACGGGAAAGGCTTACGTTTCACTAAATCGATGATAGCTGAATTTCAGAACTTTTAAAGAAACACTCACGTCTACATTTACAGTTCAGACAGATATTAGTAGAAAATAGATCAGTGCTTCATCAAGATGATAATAAGCAAGAACTTAAAATTCTGGAAGCCATAAGAAAATTGTGGTCAAGAATCATCAACTACGGGTATATGCAACAAAGTTCTTAAATGTGTATAGCAGCAAAGCATTATGTAAAAAAAACACAAAAATAGAATGCTACAGTTTAAAAATATCTAATTTTTTTTTTAATCTTTAAAAAACATTTTAGAAAACACAAATTACCTCCCTTGCATGGAGATAAAAATATTTTGAATTTACGCTGTTAACGCATAACATATTCATAGATATGTAAACTGTGAAGTTGGTCTCGGATGAGATTGAAAGTACATGGGAAAATAATCATTATTTGAAATAAAAATTTTAAATGTCTCTTAATAAAATTTCTACAGACAGCAATAAATAATTCGAGAAATTGATAGCATCAAAACTATAAAAAAATAATGTCTCAATTATTTATTTAATCCTAACATATATTTAATGAAAAAATATGCTCTCTCTCATCTCTCTCTCTCTCTCTCTCTCTCTCTCTATATATATATATATATATATATATATATATATATATATATATATATATATTTATATATATATATATATATATATATATATATAAGCAAATATATGGATATCTTCCGATAGTATAAGAAATAAAAGAAAAAACAAACAAAATCCTTATATACAATTATGACATATTAACATTATAACAGCATAATTGTATATAAGGATTTTTGTTTGTTTTTTCCATATATATATTTTCTTTCATATATATATATATATATATATATATATATATTCGAAAATTATAACATAAATATATTATAAAATCACTACAAAAATAAATATTAAATTATATGATAAAATTTGAAATTACAAATTAAAAATTACCCATTTTAAAATATAAGTTTAATCTATGTTAAGTTTAAAATTATAAAATTACTGAGGAAAAAATACATTATTTTATTTATTTTGTTTTTATTGAAATTAAGTTGGAATAAACGTTAAGATCAAATGTTGCTCTGAACTTCGTGTGTGTGTGTGTGTGTGTGTGTCTGTGTGTGTGTGTGTGTGTTTAGGTAGCAAGAATTCTTTTAAATACATGTTAAATTCAACTAGCAAGTTCTGTTTATTTAGATTTTTCATTGTATTTTTTCGAATTTTCGACGTCAGGCCAGGACCAAAAACATTGTAGACTCTTCTTTAGATTATATTAAGAATCCCTAAATATTTAACAGAAGATTCACACCAGATGTGGCAAGAATATTCAAAGCAAAGATGAATGGTAGACTTATAAATATGTAAGATAGATTCTGGCGGGAAAAATTGGCTCGCTCAACACACTGAACCTACTTTCTTAGTTGGAGACTTAACAGCTGATTCAATATTACTTTTTCCAACTTATGTCAGCGGAAAATGTTGGTCTGAAAAGACACAATGAGTCACCATCATGGATATTTAATTTTTGTTTGTTTCATTTGTCATTTGTTTAATACTATAATTTTTTGTCTATATTTCTGAGATGAGGCATTATGTACATTATTTACATTATTCGGACTATTGTCCTCATCTTTGTCGCCATATTCATTACAACGTTTCGGCCCTTCAGTATCTGTCTATATTTCTGTGATGAGGTATTATGTACACTATTTACATTATTCAGACTATTGTCCTCATCTTTGTTGCCATATGTATCAAAACGTTTCGGCCTTTCAGTATCTGTCTATATTTCTGAGATGATGTATTATGTACATTATTTACATCATTCGGACTATTGTCCTCATCTTTGTCGCCATATTTATTACAACGTTTCGTGGAAGTAGAACAGTCTACCCCAGTGAGCGAAATAAAGGATTCAGTTCGACATACCAACCACCTGAAGAAGGCCGGAGCGTACAATGCTGTAATAAATATGGCGACAAAGATGAGGACAATAATACTTTACTTAATACCGTAATATAATACTTTAATGCACGTAAAACCATGTCTAAAACATTTGCTAAAGACTATAAATATAGCGATATAGAAGAAAGATACACAAAGTGCTGTGCATCTTTTAAAAATTTATATGCACAGACATCTGCAGAATGCGTGCTGAGGTATTCTCGTTATTATTACGTTGATATAACAATTATTATTACGTTGATATAACAATTTCAAACATTATTTTCGTAATAAATGTCAGTATTAAATATTTGCCTTTATATTGGGTTGGTGTATAATTATCAAGCGTTTTTTTAAAAATATTTATTATGAAAAATAAAAATAAATTAACAACTAAATAATATTTTTAAATGATTATTCCGTAGCGTATGATTCTCGACACGCATTTTTATAACCTGAAAATGAAATAATATTTTTATTTAAAAAAGTAAACAAAACAGCAATTTTAACAAATAACTCGCCCACAAAAACGCCTGATAATTATTCACCAACACAATATATGAGTTTTTTTTTTTTTTTCTTTTTAAGCTTTCGGT